ATACATTATTGCACATTAGTAAAATGACTTGATTATCCAGACATTTTCTTTTGTCACTCTATTTAGTTTTCTTAGCTTAACAGATGGTTAATCTGATAAAAATAATTAGGAACATTTTATGTTATTTTTTAAGATGGAATTGTTAACCTATATTAATTTTTTTTTTATAGCTGCACCAAAAGTCTATCCAAATCCAAGAAGTGGTCTTTTGACTGTAAAAGAGGGAGAGACTATTTCTATTTCATGTGAGGCAACTGGTGATCCTGTACCTGTGATTACTTGGAAGAGACCAGTATGTACTTCCAAAGAAATTTTATTAGTATTAATTAACATTGCAGTTAAAGTGTAGATAGATTTATTCTGCAGATTTTATAGCTATTGTGCAGATTAACGAGGTTGATCTGTTAAAGTGCGAAAAAAAACTTCATTTCACTGGTAATCTGCACATTCCTAGAGAATCAGCATGTTACCTACTATGTACTCATTAAAATAAAAATAAGATCTTTGCTGGAACAACTACAACATCTCTGTACATTTAAAATAAACAACGTTATTTAAGAAATCAAGTTATTACAATCAACACATAAGTAGATAGAATCAATCATCAGTCATTTTATAAAATATAATACAGATTCAAATGGTTTAAAATATTATTACAATTAAGGAAAGTAATATTATGTCATTTATTTTTCCACATCTAAAGAATCAAGTCAATGCAATCAAACAATCAACAAATTAGTTGATAAAATGAAAGAAACTTTTGAACTCTAACAATATTAAGACTGTTAATGTACAAATTACCTATATAAATTGCAGAAAGCCCTTGATTTTACACTTTTTAACGAATCAAGCTAATTAATCTGCATGTTAATGGGTTTAGTGGTAACGGATATACTCATCATTTGATAAAATAGAGAAATGTAAGAGTTAATATGACAGAATGATTTGCTTTTTAAAATTTATCATGTATAGAAATCATGAAAATGGCTTTTATGACTCTGACATTGAAATTCCAACTTGCACGGAACAAAAATATTTTTTTAATGTTTAAGAAGGGACAGTCAGGACAAACTATAATTGGAGGTTTTGCTCTAAAACATGTATCATATTTACTATGCAAATTTTTCATAATATGTTCTGTATGTATAAATTTAGGGTGGTGAGAAGGCAACCAAAGTCAGAGAAGAAAACAAAATTGTGATATCAGAAGCCAATAGAAGTCATGCAGGCTCATATGAATGCATAGCAAATAATTCATTAGGAATTTTCACTTCTGCAATTATTAGAGTTCAAGTACAATGTAAGTATTTCTAAAGTATACAGATTGATTTTAAAACAACTTTGTTACCCTGATGAGCATCATGTTTGAAAGAATAGAATAAGACTTAGTACATTAGTAAAATAAACTATGCTCACAAGGCTGGGTTTCGAAACAACTATCCAGTTCTTTCAGTTATAGTGACAATTACAATTCAGTTGACACCTACTTTTTTCAAGCAATTAAAAACTTTAAAATGAAACTATAACAATGTATTTTAACAAGAAAAATGGGAGCACTAGGCAGAGATGATGTCTTCATACTCATTCTTGTTGTTGTCTGAGCACGTTCAGTAGGGCTGAGTGCAGATATGTCGAAAATTTATAAAATTCTCATTTATTCTCTGCCTAAAGCTGCCATTTTTTCATACTAAAAATATCATCCCAACTGCATTTTAAAATTTTTACTTTGAGTATCACATTTCAAGAAAATAAAAAGTCTCTATTGCCCTTTGAAATTCTGTTTGTGCAATTTTCAGTGCTTGAAAATTATTTGTAACTCTATTCTTAAGTGTATACACATGGTGCATAGCATTTTTAAAAAGTGCTTTTTTCATTGGGTGTTTTTAAAAAGTGCTTGATTTTCCCGTTTCGAAAATGAGATTTTTTTCTTGGCCATGTCGGTTTTCGACACGCATTCTGCAAAAGCGTGCTTTCCATATTGTTCCATTAAACGTTTTCACAATTCATTCAACCGCAATCTATTTCGGCTTACCGTCGGTCCATAGCGCATGAAAGCGCCAAACATTTTACACGTTTGATGAAATACTTGCTAGTCTGCATGAGCGTGGACAGAGCTGGGTTTGGTGAGATTATTGCACTCTTGTGTGCAACTCTGCTGCATTTTGAAAGATAGTCCCAATTTCAGGCTTCATTTCCCCACCCTCTGATATCAAATCGAAATATCTTTCTATCATTTTATAATGGCTAATATAATCAAGGAGAGAGTTCTTTGTCAGAAACTAGTTATTTTATTATGATCATGCCAAGTGTTTGAAAATTATTTTGCATTTTGTTAATGTATATAGTGCTTAAAAATATTTTTTGAGTGCTTAAAAAGTACTTATGTTTTGTTGGTTTTGTTATGTTTGGCTATGTGCCCTAATACATCAATATAAAATACTTCTTTTGTGTTTTCTTGCTCATTATGGGACATTAATTTATTTTTAATCATGTTGTACATTCATCTTGAGAATCTTTTCAGGAAAGTAACATTTGGTTTATTCTATATTTTTAGATGCTCCAGAAATAACAGTTCCCCATTCGTGGATTCATGCAGGTGAAGGGACCAATGTAAATATCACTTGTATCATAAGGGGAGAACCAATTCCTTCCGTCATGTGGAAAAAAGGGGGTGATGGTCAAGTAATTCATGGAAATGATCATTACCACATGAAAACTGATGGCCATCTTCATATGCTTGAAATCCGTCATTTGAAGGAAGATGACTTTGGACGCTATGATTGCATAGCCAGCAATTCATTGAGTAGCGTTTCTGAAAATATTCACATCATTGGTAAGTAATTTTGACCTACTGCCGATTACCTTGAATGCTAATTTTCTCTTTTTATTACTGGGCAACTCCTTAACTTTTACATCCTGACCTTAACTCAGATAAAATGTGCGGGTCTCCTTTCGATAAAAGTTTGATAATTTTTTGGATAAAGTAAAAAATAATTTAGAAACATTTTTTTTTATCTAAGAAAAGAATAATACTAACATATTTTGAACATTTGTAACCTGAATGTCATTTATTCTAAATGTAAAATAAGTTTAAATAAAATTTCCGATTTGCTGATTTTTTTTCTTTATTAAAGATATTGCAAAATGAAAGACAAAAATTATGTAAAAATGATCAACTATTTGTATTAATGTTATTAAATTTTAATATGAAAAATACTTTCTGTAAAAATCACTAACTATTAAATTTGAAAATTTTCTTTTATAATTTCCAGATTTTTTATTTTTAAATGCTGGCATACACACACACACATATATATATATATATATCAATCAATCAAATGTTTTTGAATCTTATATAATAATTGTAAGGATTCATGGGGTGTGTGATCATTTTCTATTTCTTAACTTATTTTATTCTGATACAAAATGATAAATAGTAAATTTAATACATTATTGCACAAGTGGCACTCAAATTCACTAGAATTTGTTTGCTGTGATACTCATAAACTCTAATGCTGTCTCCCATTTTCATAAAATTAAAAATTTTCCATCAAGAGATATTTTGTATTAATAAAAACTATTTTTTTCTGAGAAAATAATTTCTATGGTAAAAGCTCTTGAAATGAATAGAAGGTTTACAATTATTTTCCTAAGTGTAAATTGTTCATATGTATGCATTTGTAAATATATTAGTAAAAATATTTTTGTACATATAGTTATTATTTTTTATAAAGTTCTTCAATATAAAAATCGTACTTTCTATTTTAGAATTTACTCTGCTTTGCTTTAAAACTATTTAAATTTCATAATATTTTTATTAATACTTAGATGCATAGTGCAGAATTTAGAAAGCACCAGAATTTGTAATTGTTTCACAAAATATATTGCATAAGAATTGTTTTTGAAAACAATAAATTATTTATTTACGAGAATATCATAATCATTGTACTATTTACTAATGTCAATTTTTTACACACTAATATAATTTATTGTCCAACTCAAGATACATAAATATTCGTCTCACAGACAAAACTTGTAGCTTTTAAATTAAAAGAGATAGAAAGATGAACTTCTAAGTACTTTCTAGAATGTTTATGAATAGTGCTTGTTTATGAATCCCGAGTTAAGTATGTGATTTTATTACACTTTCAAATTTAATAATTATTTTTATTTTCCTTTGCAGGAACACCCCAAGTTCCTCATTTCACTAGCAAACCCCATATATCTCAGGGAACAAAATACACCATTTCCTGGATTGTAGATTCTCATACACCTGTTGACGAATACTCTCTTATGTTCAGAAAAGTGAGTTCAGTATGATATACTGTTTTATTATAAATATTGTAACGTTTGTTTCAGAACTTAGATTTTCTTCTTTTAACAAAACACAAGATATTCGAGAAAATGTGTTAAATACTTTCTAAGTGTTATGTTAGTAAATGTACTTTCTTTCAAAATCATTTGATGAATTATTAAAATTGACTAATAATATATACTGACCCACTGAGTACAACTCACTTACATTAGAAGAAAGAAGACAAAAAAAAATTTCATAAACAAGTTCCCTTTCATTATTGAAGGACATTAGCTACTTAGCTGCTCTGTTTAGCGCTATTTGGCTTTAACTATCTCTCAATTTATATGTTGGTAAACTTTCATAATTACTCTGTTACTTTTAAAATAATGATCATCAAAAATGTTTTCTTTTTTCAATTGGACAAAAAACATTATCCAATTAAAAAAAATATGTAAATCAGTTATATTGAATATATCAGTCAAATATTGATATTTTCTGATGCTATATCACAATGTTAAAAAATCTGATATCACATAGCACTAGTGGGTACTTGTTAAAAATTAGTGTTTTGGATGTAGCCTTCAACACTTAGATATATTGTAATCATTGAAAAGATAATTTTCTGATTATAATAAATGGATTTTTATAAGTTGTGACAAACATTTTCTAGAAAGCAAACAATGGCGAATGGGAAACTAAAACGATACCTGCATCAGACAAAAAAGAAGGCAACACTCATATACAGGTGTATCAACTAGTTAATCTGGAACCAGCTACATCATATGAAGCTGTCGTCACAGCAAGGAACAAGTTTGGCTGGAGCAAACAGAGTGAAGCCTTTGTCTTTACAACGAAGAAAGAAGGTAGTAGTGACATGCTAATTTATAAGTTTTTATTTTAAATGATCTTTGTTTCTTTTGTCAATATTGTTTAATGGTTATGAAGATTTTGTAACTTCTGAAAAAGTTCTCATTTAGTAACATCTGGTAAAGTTGTTTTGGCAAAATTTTGCATAAAAGCAGAATATCTAATAAGAAAATAACTATATATTATCTTCTATAAAACATTAGAAGCTTAATACTGTTTTTTAGTAAAGAAATTATAAACAGTTAATGAATATATTAGCACTATGTAATCATGCACAAAATTGAAATTATTGACCCAAATATTATTTCTTACCCTTTCCTGAGACTTTACATTATTAAATAAAAACAAGTTTTGAAAGTTCAACAACTCAAAAAAAAAATATTCATACTTAATAGTATTTGATTCAAAGTGATGCTTTTTTAATTTATAACTGTCGTTGAATAGCCAACCCCATTTTGTGTTAACAGTTACCAATATTGAACTCCGTAGCCTTGTAATTTTGAACCCAATCTAGAAGACAAGGGAATTCCTGGATAAAGTATCGGGAGAAATTTGCATTTGTGGAGGGTTTTTTCTTATGAAAGTAACCCGCATTTGCATTACATGGAGGAAAAACCTCCCACGGTTAGCCTGATGGCAAAGGGGACTCTAACACATGATCCGTCTATCACTAAGGATATTTTAAGTCTGCACTGCGGTCGGTGCAAGCCAAGAGCAGAATTCATATTGACCAGCCATCACTGGTATTTGAACCTGCTCTATACCCCATGCCACTACAGCTCAAAGTGATGGTATTAATCATAACCAACACATGGTAGTGGAGCAATCAAGCAATCACAGTCAAGCAATTCTCCCTGTGAATTGCCGCTGACTTAAAATTATTTAAATTTATAGAAACATGTTTCAGAAATGTAACTACAAACAAGTTGTTTCAGATAGCTTTCAAAATACTAATTCAGTGATCTCCCCCTGACATTACCATCTACCTTGATTTTTCTAGCATTTGCCTGATATTGTTAATCGAAGGTTTTGTCTGCAATTTGCATTTAATATTAATTCCAATGAGGAAAAAATTACTTACACCTCTCCTCAACAAATAAATTTTTTTTAAGGAGTTATAGATTGAGGGGTTAAAATTACCCATAGTGCAGCCACTCTCCAAATTTCCTCAAAGGATTCTGAAGCTATAAGAAAGATACACAAACTTTTTCTATTTATTATTGTGTTATTTTGCATTGAGCATCAAAACAAGAGATATTTATGTATATTGAATCTGTTGCTTGTATAGGACTGCTATCACAATTTTCTGACAAAACTCTCAAAACTAATTTAATCATAAAAATTTTTTTAAACTCTTTGATGAAGTAAAAATATTTTTATATATACATAATTCTTTTTGATATTTTAAACACATCTCATTTCAACACCTTCAAGTTTGTACATTTTCTTGTATTTGAATTTTGATATATTTATTAAAGTAAAACTACATACTATTTCACGAAGTAAAATATTAAAAAAAAAAGGTGATTCCATATTGTTATTGGTTGATTATGTTTTAATTGTGAAAGTACAATTTAGAGTTGACACTTCATATTTTTTTAAATGTAATCTTTGAATTGCCCATCCATTATTTTTCTGCTACAGAATCAAGTACCAGCTCTGCTCAGGCCACCTCAACTTCTGCTGGTGCAATACCAGCTGAAAGCACAACTGAAATTCCAATAGATATAGGAAATGATATACCAATCATTAATGGTCAGTTTTCATTTGGTGTGAAAATGTAACAATGTGAGGTTAACCCGCATGTCTCAAGTCTTGTGTGCAGTAGTATGCGTTTTCATACCCATGTCTTGTGGACTTGTCCTTGTTAGTTTTGTTAACAATGTAAACTTTTCTGCAAAAAGTTTTGCTTTTCAAGCTTGTGAGACTTCTCTTTCGTATCTTCTGTTTATTTGTCTATTGAAATGATAAAACTCATGTTTTGAAATTTAAAACTGCATTATGCGGCTGCAATGAATTGACATCTTTAACAATGGTTTAGTCATGTTGAATCTTAATTTTAAATATACTCCATAAAAATTTCGGCATACATTCCTCACTACTTCAAATTAAGCCAATAGAAATGTGTCATATGTTGCCTAAAATTTAAATTTTAGTTTTATCATCATAACAAAATTAGCGTACATTTTAACATTGATAAATAATCTTTTTTGTCTTAGGAAAGCAGTAAGTCAATTATCCTCAATAAACATAATATAATAGATTAATAATTAGGGGCCAATCTAAAAGAAATCAAGTTTGTTTTAGGATCCATTGCAACAGTGTTTCCCAAAGTGTGGTACGTGTACCCCCAGGGGTACACAAACAGTTTAGCGGGGGTACACATTCTTATACGAAATATCTTGCAACAAACGAAAATTTCAAAACAATTTTTATTTAAAAACAGAGCTAGCCATGAAGATTTGCGATTATGTATTTTTCTATTGGCTATTTTTTGCAGAGGTAACAGTTAATAATTAATGGTGTCAACAGCCAGTTGTGATTTTTAACTTATGTGCGTANACGGTAGTAGTGATATGCTCATTTATATATATATATATATTTAAATATGCTTTATTAATTTATCAATATTGTTTAATGGTTATCAAGGTATTGTAACTTCTGAAAAAGTTTGTTTTGGCAAAATTTTGCATAAAAACATTCTAAAGCAGAATATCTAATGAAAAAATAATTATACATTATCTTCTATAATACATTAATAGCTTAATACTGATTTTTAGTACGAAGTAAAGAAATCATAAACAACTCATCAAAAAGTAGGATTAGTCATATTTAGTAGTATTTGGTTCAAAGGGATGCTATTTAATTTTAAAACCATTGTCGAATAGCCAACCCCATTTTGAGTTTACATCTACCAATGTTCAATTCAGTTGCCTTGTAATTTTGAACCCAATCCAGAAGACAAAACTCCTGGATCAAGTATTGGGAGAATTTTACCTTTGTGGAGGACTTTATTTATGGAACTAATCCACATTTGATTTACATGGAGAGGAAAACCACGAAAAACATAATACGGTTAGCCTGACGGCAAAAAGGACTTTAACCCAAGATCCGTCTGCCACTAAGGATAATTTAAGTTAGCACTAGGGTTAGTGTGAACTGGCTGCAGAATTTCTATCGATCAGCCATAGCTGGGATTCAAACTGGGGACACCTCATAGGGAGGCTAGTGCTCTATCCCCTAAGCCACCATAGCTCAAAGTGATGCTATTAATCATAACTAATACATGGTTGTCAAGATTTATCACAATCAAGCAATTCTCCTTATGAAGTGGCCTTTCGACTTTATTATAATTGCCGTTGACTTAAAATTATTTAAATTTATAGAAATATGTTTCAGAAATGTTATTGCAAACAAGTGGTTTAAGATAGTTAAAATATTAATTCAGTGATCTCGCCCTGACATGCCATCTGCCATGATTTTTCTAACTTTTGCCTGATATTGTGAATCAAAGGATTTGCCTGCAATTTACATTTAATATTTATTCCTATGAGAAAAAAATTACATACACCTCTCCTGAATAAATTAAAATTTAAGGAGTTTTAGGTTGAGGGATTAAAATTACCCATGGTGCAGCCACTCTCCAAATTTCTGAAATCCAGTTTCAGGATTGCCACAGCAAAAAAGGAACAAAAATAGTTGCTTTTAGTAGCCTCAAGAAGGATAATAGTTGCCTAAACAGGAACAAAAATTTATAAAAAAATAGTAGTCAAATAACTAAAATTATAGCTTATTTGTCATATACTATGATTAGGACTGGGTGATGTCAGAAATTTTAAATCGTGATTTATCGCGACATAGCGATGTATCGCAATTTAGCATACGTTCAAAAATTACCTATGTCAAATCTTTAAATCAATCAAAAATAAATCTATTACAAAAGAAAATATTAAGCGGCAATAAGTACGTGTTAGTGAGGGGATGGAAAAGTAACGTTCATTTTTGCGAAAAAAAACTTCGCCAAAAGTAAAAAAGTCTCCCAATAGTCGCCTATTTCTGAAAATAGTTGCTTTTTTAGCCTTTTCTTACAAAAAAAGTCGCCATAAGCGCCTAAGGCCGAAAATAGTAGCAAATAGTCGCATTTTAGTAGTCTGTGACAACCCTGAGTTTGTACAAAGGGTTCTGAAGCTATCAGAAAGATACCCAAACATTTGCTATTTATCATAGTGTTGATTTCGTTACCTGTATAGGACTGTTATCACAATTTTTTGACATAACTATTTTAATCATACTAATTTAACTCTTGAAACTCTTTGATGAAATAAAAATATTTTTATGTATCCGTAATTCTTGTTGATATTTTAAACACATTTCATTACAACAACTTCAAGTTTCGCACTTTCTTGTATTTGAATTTTGAAACATTTATTAAGGTAAAACTACATACTATTTCATGAAGTAAAATATTAAAAAAGAGTGATTCCATATTGTTATTTTGCTGTTGGTTGATTATGTTTTGATTGTCGAAATTTAGTCGACACTTCATATTTTTTTTAATGTAATCTTTGAATTGCCCATCCATTATTTTTCTGCTACAGAACCAAGTACCAGCTCTGCTCAGGCCAGCTCAACTTCTGCTGGTGCAATACCAGCTGAAGGCACAACTGAAATTCCAATAGATATAGGAAATGATATACCAATCATAAATGGTCAGTTTTCATTTGGTGTGAAAATGTAACAATGTGAGGTTAACCCGCATGTCTCAAGTCTTGTGTGCAGTAGTATACGTTTTCATACCCATGTCTTGTGGACTTGTCCTTGTTAGTTTTGTTAACAATGTAAACTTTTCTTCAATAAGTTTTGCTTTTCAAGCTTGTAAGACTTCTCTTTGGTAGCATCTGTATATTTGTCTATTGAAATGATAAAATTCATGTTTTGAAATTAAAAACTGCATTATGCGGTTGCAATGACTTGACATCTTTAATAATGGTTTAGTCGTGTGAATCTTAATTTTGAACATCTGAGATTATACTCCATAAAAAATACGTCCTACATTCGTTGCTACTTTAAAATTCAGCCAATAGAAATGTGTCATATGTTGACTAAAATTTAAATTTCAGTTTTATCATCATAACAAAATTAGCATACATTTTACCATTCATAATTAATAAAACACTCTTTTTTTGTCTTAGGATAGTAGTAAGTCAATTATCCTCAATTAACATGATATAATAGATTAATAATTAGAGGCCCATCTAAAAGAATTACCCATTACTAAATCAAAACCCCAAAAAAGAACTTTTTACAAAATTTCATAACTAAAAAAAATAATAATAAATAAATAATAATAATCCTTCACAAACCTCTAAACTACTTTATAAAGACCCTTTAAAAGTAAAAGTTTTAAAACTTATCTTTTCGCAAAATCCAATTTTTATTACTTAACTAATATTTTACTTTGTTTGCATTCTTACAATTAAAAATTAAATTTCATACACATGAAAATGTGCATTTTTGTATGAATTATTAACAAAAACATATTCAAATGGACTAGAAAACTTATAGAAGACTGCAAAGTACTTTCTTAACTGCCTAAACGATAGACAAATTAGTTTCTTTATATTTTTGTTATTTAAATTCTCATAGTCAAGGTTTTTAAGGATAAGGAAAAGCATGCTTCATAGAAATATAGAATTTAAGTTTTCACAAAACCCTGGCAAGAAGTCCTAGATTAACCCCTGATAACATTACTTAAAGCTTGTTTCTTATGCAGAAATTGATTTGAAATTTAATTTGTAAAATAGTTTAAAGTCTTTGCTTTCTATGTTGTTCCTGTTTGATTTTGTGTTTATCTTTCATTTCATATTTATTAAAATTATATTTTGTTTTTATTATGTATGCGCATTATTTATATAATCTTTTCTTTAATGCAGATAAACATTCAGAAAGTGCTCTCAGCAGCTCGTCTACTACCTATGTGAATTTGATGTTTACAATTCCAATGGTTTTTGTATCTCTGTACCGTAATTTACTGTAAATTGTTTTCCTACAAGAAAGATTGGACACCATTACTACGATCTGAACTTAATTGCTTGAAAAAAATTGGGCATACGAGTGTCTTGCAGGAATGTGATACAGAATAAGCCTGTCATTCCTCAGATGAAAATATTAGAACTATATATAGTTTGCCATCCATTCATAATAATATGTGGTATTCAGTATTTGTTTTTTTTTCCCTTATAAGTTTTCTATCTTCACGATAAATTATTAAGATTCATTTAATTAGTGCATTACTTTAATCTATACAAATAAAACATTTTTGATCAAAATAAATTTATTACGAACAATGTTCACATATTGATTAATAATGTTCAGAAGAATGTATTCTGCTAAAAATTAAAAAATGTATTCTGTTTGTGAATTTAAAAAATTTTTTGTCAAGGGTTTACATGTTTATAAAATAACATTTTGATATTTTTTTCAAATAAAATCCCCGTTTCTTGATTAGTAAAATAAATTGAAGGAAAATCATAATCAGTTTTGCTTAGAGATAGAAAACTTTGGCTTGAAATAATTTTGTGATGTGTAAAATTGTTTTCTCCCCATTTTCGTCTTTGTGATGTTGAGTTGTCTATTTATTTTTGTAGTCATAACAGTTTGAGCACTCAAATATTATTTTTTATTTGGAAATTTTATGCTATTTTTTAAGTGTGCCTCTTAAACAAAACCATTAATTTTTTTTTAATAAAAATTACTGCACTGAAATTTGGTGTTGCACTCTTTTCTGTACAAATTTTTGCTTTTTAATGATAAAATGTGACATACCTTCATGGTGATGCTGTGGAATGTTATGCAGTCAAAATTGAATTTCTTGAGTTTAAAAAACATATTTCAATTAAGGTTAAGTGGTGTGCACTTTCACTGTTGTATAATCATTTTTGAGTGTATGAATGAATGTATATACTTTACGAATAACCAATATGATGAAATTTAAAAATTTATTTTCTAAGAACTTTTTATCTGAACTGCAGCTTATATTGGGAATTAAAATATTTTGGCCATTCATACTGTTAACTAATTCGTGTTTAGCATTTCATTGCTGTATCTGATATTTATTCATATAATTTTATTGTCTTTCATAAGATACTTTATTTGTTGAATTTGTGTGATTAGATTAAGTATACATTAGTATGGGTCATTTTTAGAAAACTATTTGTTTTAGCAGCTCTTGTAATAAATTTCCTTTGCAGTTCATACACCTTGAAAAATTACTTTTCTTTTAAAAACTTAAATAATATTAGATAGCATGCTCAGTGCTGCTGTCCACAATTTTTATGGAAAATTATTTAAATTGCTGTAAATAGGTTGATGTGTATTTAGTTAGATAACTTTTTTATACACTAAATAAGGACTATCAATTTGTGATGTCTTTATTTCACTAATTATTGTTTAATTAAATATATTAACTTTTCTAAATATATTATTCAAGTGGATGTTCTCAAGCTAGTATGCCTGGTTATTCCATATTACTACCTTTTATAACTTTCGATACAAAGAAAACCAATTTTCATTTCTTAAAAATGTCTTTAAGTAAAAGATATTTTAACTATTATATTTAAAAAAATTTCTAGTTTTCTGAGAATGGCCCATATAATTCATAACATTTAAATATGACTAATTGTAGGGGAAAATCTTAAAAAGTTCTTAAAATTGTACTTTGATTTTTTTTTTTTTTTAAATCATGCCTGTTATAGCCACTGAACAGACATTTTTAATAACTTTTCAATGGTCATTTCTATTTTTTTTTTCTTTTTAATATGACAATAAAAAATATTATTTTTAGTTATGAATTGAAAATTGTATTATATTAAAAGCATAAGTGGTCATAGAAATAATGTACATTTTTGCTTCTTTGAATTATATGGGCATTATTTCAAGGGCTTACAGTTGCTCCTAGATTCTGATCTATCATTTTGAAATTTCAAATAAAGTTGTAGATATTGTCATTTGTGTTATTTTATTACTTTCAACAACATAAACATTCCTAATCACATTAATAATAATTTTTTTTTTAGATATTTACTTCATGCGACTCAAGTTTTAACTCTATGAACAGGGTATCCACGCACCTGGAAAGTCATGAAAAATCATGATAAGTCATGGATTTCGAAATAGAACAAAATTTGTCATGAAATGTCAAGATTTTAACTATTTTTTTTAACAAATCATGGATTTAGGTCACCGAAAAATCTAATTTTTAGAATGGAATTTACCCCCTCTCCTCAATTTCATGGTGTTCTGAATATCTGAATTTGTAACAAAATCTCCACTCACAGTCATATTTGATTAAAATATAAAATGTTTTTATCATGTTCTTTAAGAATTATTCCCAAATGAGAACAGAAAAATTAGGAGTATTTCTTTCCTTTCTGATGAACAAGAACAAGTCTTAAGAATGTAATTCTGCAGAAAAAAATATTTGCTTTTGTATTTTTTTCTTCCAGATTTTATTACTTCAATTCTTTCTTTACTCTGTTTTTTAAATTTAAAATCTATAAATATGAAGATGCAGATCATGACAGTTTTTGGTTATACCTATTATTTCAATGAATTATTATAATGCTTTTTTAAATTTATTGTTGTGTTCTTGTAAGAGAAAATAGTAACTTCCGTAAGTCATGAGAAATTTTTGGAATTAGTCATGAATTTGAAAATCTAAAATGTAGCAGGTACCCTGTATGAAACAGTGCGCTCAAAATTGTAGCTGTATGTGAAGTGTCTATTTGGTTTAGGAAATGAAAATGGAGATAGTGCTTTTTTTTATGTCTATGTAAACAATTTAGTATTAAATATATATTTTATTAACAAAAATTTATTTGTAATGCAAACTTTTATATAGTTATGTTTAAACCACATTTTTCAATGTAACTTTTTGTTTTTTAATTGAGATTTCATTACATTTGGAAAATGACAATCTATTAGGTGCAATTTATATAGAATGGTGGAGTGATAATAGCTTGTTTTTTCTTACAGAATAATTTTAATCAGTGAAAAAAAAAGTTTTTACCAAAATATTTGCAATTAAAAAAGCAAACAAAGAGATTGCAACTCATTTTATTTTCTTTTAAAAACTGGTTATGATTTGGAAACTTGTTATCACAACACTACTGTCGCAGACATTTCTGCCTTTCATCAATTACAGATCAACAATGTTAATCCGTCTACAATCTATCGGCAAAAATAGTCTACTCTAAAATAGTTGTTCAATAAAATAAAAAATTATATATATATATATATGTAAAATTTTTCATTCTTTTTTATTGCTATTTTAATATTAAACATATGTATTTGTTTGCTTTAAAGACAAGCTTGCTATTAGGACAATTTCGTCTGCTACCACAAATTATCGCTAATAACGAATTTTTCCTGTATATGTAAAGCAACTTGTAATACCATTTGATTTGCTAGTTTAAATATTTCTGCAACACTTATAAACTGATAGATTTTAATTTAGATGACAATAGATTTTAATTGAAATGGCACCATCAAGTTTCGGTTGGCATTTAAGATTTAAAAATTTTTTTACAAATGACTTATTTATAAAATGTGAATGTTTATTTACATTATGAATTAATAAAACAACTGAAAATTCATCAACCCTAAGTTTTGATAATATAATGAATAAATTTACAAAAGAAATAACAAAAAAATTAACCAAGATACATTCCTGCAGATAATAACAGATTTCTTCTAGTGAAATGCAAAGATAGCACAGGTGTAGATTTAGTTTTGAATGTTCCCAGTAAATAAGCATCACTGGTATTCCTAAATTAAAAAAACAATAAATATTAAAGAGATTTTAAGGTTTGTAAGAATGATAACTTTAAATTTTGTTACAAATTGAAGCTTGGTCATATAGATTTAATCAATTATAAGTTAAGTTCCAAAAGCTGCAGTTTTTTATAAATATACTCAGCAAATAGGTTTGGAAATTTAGCGGCTACCTAAGAAATTTTTTCACATAATGTTTTACCCACCATATTTTCTCAATTAAATAAAAAGTCCTGCTGTATATAAAAAGTCAAATATTTCATAGTTAATAAATTTTAATATTTACTAGTTTGTTTTTCTGTGACTCCCAATAAAATCCAAGAATTTTTAGTGGAAAACTGAAAACTAGTGTTAACTGAATTCGTAATCTTTCTAACTAATTGTTAACTTATTCCAATTCATAAGTCAATGAAAATCTAAGTCAATCAAAGATAGTTGCTAAAAACTAACAGAAAAAAAATGCTTTGCTACAATATTAAGACCATTTTATTTTTCTTCCAAAAATTACTTTTGGTAATATCAATATTTTATTGAATTAAATAATTTTCTTTCCTAAAACTCCCAGAATCCACCACTTCCTACCATTTTAGATTAACACATTGCATTTGAGATTTGTTAATTTTGGAAGAAGTTGCAGCTTCTAGCATTGTAATATTAGTATCCAAAACTATATGATATAATATAATTTAATTTGAGAACTCTGCAAGGCTAGTTCTTAGAGAGCTTTTACTTCTGAGCTTTTTGACAGCAAATAGGATCATGTAAATGTATATATTTAAAACTATTTACTTACTTGACAGTTGGTGCATGTGAAATATTTAGATCTTCCAAATCTATTTCTTCCAATAATTTACTGATGTCCCATAGTTTTATACAATTGTCTAATCCACCTAAAAAAATTACAGAAACATTTGTGTGATGAAAATGTGTAGAATCGTAACATTTTTATGCCAAGTAAACAAGCATAAATTTATTATTCGATACTTCTAAAAATTTTGTTTAATCTTTTTTAGTGAAATTAATAGCTTTTATAATAAAAAATACTTTACCAGAAGCTAGTACAGTTCCTTCTCGACTGAAACATAAGGAATAAATAGTATCATGGTGACCGGTAAGTTCTGCCAACAAATGACCATATGCAATATCCCAAATGAGTATTTTTTTGTCCGATCCTAAAGAGAATAATTTTAATGCATTAACTAGTACACTAAAATATTTTTATCTAACATATAAAAAATGAATTTAATAAATTAAATATAAATATGAAAAACTATATAATTTTATTATAAAATAAAAGTTGACCTTACAAAGTTATTGTGACACCTTTCCATGGCTGATTGTGCTCCGGAAAAAATCTGGATTTCCGGATTTTTTGCTAACAGTGATCCGGAAGTTTCCGGAGAAAGAAGGTCCAGACGTTTCAAAGAATCATTGATCGCAGAAGTTCCCGGAAATCAAATTTGCAAAGGTGGAACTTAAAAACACAGTTTATTTTATTTGTTTGTAAGGGAGAGCCAGAGAGATACTTTATAAGCTTATATTTATTTTTTATCAGTAAATAGTTGTTATAATCATTACCTCAAGAAAGAAAGACATATTTGTAAATTTTAAATACTTCTCCAGGTCATAGGTATGTATAAGTGGTATAGGTATGTGCAAAATTTTAAATATATTTTAATTAAACTAAGAAATAATGAGAAAAAGGAAAAAAAACTTGTTTAAATTTTTTTCAATTAAAAATTTTTTTTTTTAACTCAAGCAATTTTCCGGAATTTTGACTTGGGCTCACAATCACCCCTGCCTTTCTGAAGTTAATAAGGTGAAAAGAAGAATAAGTGGGCACTGCATGAACTAAATAAGCTGAATCAGTTGCACTGCATGCACATCATTACTAACCTGTTATCATTGAAAGGCATTTTTTTAATGTAATTTTGCAGCCTCCAGCTTGATTACCACATCTTTCATCAAATGACATTCATTTTTTTTAAACATTTAAAACAGTTTTTAGGAGCTGAACAGTATGAAAATGAAGACAATCTATAAAATTTATTAATTTAAAGAATATAGAGTTTATTGATTCTAAAGATAAAGATTTTTTTTTATACAGGCATCTATGCATTAAAATCCCGTTCAAAAAGTGTATTAAAACAAATGCGAGCACATTTTGATAAAATAAACAGTTTTTGAAAAAAGATAAGCAGTAAGTTATATGTATTCACTTAAAAATCTGACATTTCATATCTACCAACCTAAAGAATATTAAGGGATAATGATATTCATCAATATTTTAAACATATAAATAGTTTAAATTAAATGTTACCGTTATGTAAAGCAATTGGATTTCATTGAATTATATTTTCATTTTCAACTTGCATATACAACGACTGCAAAACAAGTATAAGTATTTCCAAAGACTACAAGTTTACTTTTTTGTTTTGCTCAATAATTCTGTATTATCATTTTGATTTTTAACATCTGCATTCAAAACAGTTTGTACGTATAAAATAAACTCAAAAATACAATTCTGATGCTATTCTTATTTCTTGGGAATTTTATAATTAAAATAATTTATTACGCTTTCTTAACTAAAAACATCATGGTCTTAGTGTAACTACAGTGCATATGAAGCTTCATTTACTCATAAACAACATAAACTGAGGAATTAATTTTAAAAAAGTATTGGTTCAAAATTGAAATTAATTTTTAATAACTAATCAGTGAAAATAATCAGTTCTAAAATCATCATTAAAATAAAAAAAGTTTTTTTTTTCACAAGCACTGTACAATTTTTAATAAAACTACAATTTAATTCCAGACAACGAATTGAATGTATGCTGTTATAAATTAAACTGAGTTCATTTTATTTCACTGTTTTTTTACATTTTACAAGGACAATCTTTAAATTCTTCTCATAATAATGAAACATTTAAATTATTACTTTACATAATCCCAGCTTCAGATATATTTACAAAACCGGTACATATAACTTTTTTTAGCAAAATTTTCATGATTACCTTTAAAAGTCAAACACTTAAGACAAACCATTTGTTTCAATATAAATGTCAATAGGGTAAAATCTTTTTAACTAAATACTTAAATTAACTTTTTTGATGGTCTAAGTTTTTTCCTTGTGATTTTCTGAATATTTTCAGTCTAATTTTCAAGCTTAAAATTATATGTACTCCATTAGAAGCCCAAAAACTAATTACCTATCATTAAAAATTAACTACAACTAAAATCAATTGCCACTTTTTTCTGATAAATTTAAAAAAAGTTTAAATAAATAATGAAATTCAACCAAAAAAAAACAAATACAAAAATATATGTTTGAAACTTTGAAGTAGAGCAATTAATGTAAAAATTTTGGTGTTATCTAAAGTTATGCTGATTTAATCTAAGTTTTCAAGTACATAAAGAACATATAATGAGAAATATCTACGAATAAGTAAAAATATTAAATTCTATAAATAAATAAAGATTAAGATGGAAAGAAATAACCAAGAAAAGTAAAACAGAAAAAGAAATTTATTTTTTTTACATACAACAGGGGCTCCCACTCAATTAAAAAAAAATAATTTAAAGATCTAAAATCAAATTTGCCAAGGACCTACTCTGTAACAGTTAGTAAGCTAGTTAGTATACTAGTCAACCAGATTTTATTACATTAAAACATAGATTAAGTATCAATTTTACACTATTTAATAGTTGTTTTAATATTTGCAGCCTAGGACTACCAATGCAAATAGTTTGATAGTTACATTGTGTTTTAAATCAGCATTCTAGCATTAGCATTCTTGCAGACTTTTAAAGGCTGGAACCACTCTAAATTTATATGAAAAATTTCATGAAGCATATTAGAATTAATTTAAAAATTAATATTTAGCATATCTGTTTCAATTTTAAAAACACAAAATCTCTTTATTACCTTAGAATATCAGTAATGTATTTTGAACATAATAAAATCTTTTGTATTACAATATTTTGAAAGATAACAAACTAAGATTTACCAAAGTTTATTTTCTTTAAAATATATTATAAAGCGTGATTTTTCTTAAATTTGTGAATATGATTCACTATGCTTAATTTTTTAATCGTGTGTATCGCAGTATGTTACAATTAAAAGCAAAATTACGTATAGCACTTGAGAACAGTATCAAGGTGCGTAGTCAAATCTTTTAACAAAAAATAAGCATTTTTTAAACACTTTTTATGAACTCAAAAAATATTTTTAAGCATTATATACATTAGCATAATGCAAAATAATTTTCAAAGACTTTACACAATCATGATAAAACAACTACTTTCTGACAAAGAACTCTTTTCTTCATTATATTAGCCATTATAAAAAGATCAAGAGATTTTAAAGTTCGATATCAGAGGGTGGAAAATGAAGCCTGACAATAATCTCACTGAACCCAGCTCAGTTGACGCACATGCGAACTCTCAAGTATTTCATCAAGCATGTAAAATGATTGGTACTTTCATACGGATTGGATTGTGGTTGAATGAATAGTGAAAACACTGAATAGAAAAATGCGAAAAGGACGCTTTTGCATAATACATGGCGAAAATCAATGAACATGGTAAAGAAAAAAATCTGTTTTTCTAAAAGGAAAAATTAAGCACTTTTTAAAAACACCGAATGAAAACAAGCACCTTTAAGGGCTTTAAAAAACGAAAATAAGCCCTTTTAAAAACGCTACGAACCGTGACTATATAATACTTTGAAATTATGCATTACAAACATATTTGCTGATGAAAATGTACAAGAATGCAACAATAGATATAATTTTTTAAAAAAAAGCATATAAATAAGTATACACACTTATGAAAATCTACAATAAACATCTTTGGAAAATGTCTTTTAATGACTGAAACTGCAAAAAATACAAAATGATAACTAAACCTTTCATGGATGATGGATAATTAGAAAATAACTGAATATTGTAAAGGAAGTATTTACATACCAGCAGATGCAAGAAATCTACCACAAGTTGAAAATGCTAAATTATACACAGCTCCCTAAATAGCAAGAGAAACAAATCATTAAAAACTAAAATATATATCAGAAAACTAAACCAAATATAGTGAATCCATTTAAGAAGATCTTGTTTAAATATGATTCTTTATATTCTAGTCATCAATCTGTAACCTATCATTACTAAAATAACCATTTTAAGAAATTTTAGTAAAACTTTTTAAGGATTTACAATTTTTCTCCAGTCTTCAAAAATGAAAATCACTGAAAAACAACTTCTAGTAGAACTAGAAGGGGAACTTCTTGTAATAAATTGAAAAAATATATAAGTAAATAAACATTTAAAATAAAATATTTTAAATAAATTAGTATTAAGACATACTTTCTTCATTAACAAGTAAGTCTATTAATATCTAAGTGACAATAATTTTAACACAATATGAAAACAATATTGTAACATAAACAAGAATTTTCCTTAGTATATATTTTCTTCGTATTTTTAAAAAATAATTTTAACCTACCAACTTAAGGTATCCAACTGGTTTTGCCACTATTTTTTTTTAAAAAAAAAACAACTTTAATTAAAACTTTTTAATTTTATTTTTGGAAAACTGAAGTCTTAACATCATAAATCTAAAGTAAAATTTAAAAACTTTCAAAATATTTTTCAAAATAAGTGCAAATTTGAGCATAAAACTCTGAAAAGCCAACAGCTCTAGAACAAATTGCAACACATAAACATCAAAACAATTTTTATTCTAGATCATTAATTTGATTTTGATCTAGAATAAAAAAATTTCTTTGTTTGAATTAAAATCTTTAAAAAAAAATCTTAACTATACAATGAAGTAGAACTAAATATATTGTTTAGTATCAGCTCTTTAAATAAGAACTCTAAATATCCATACTAAAATAATAAATTCACGCTTTTCGAAAGAAATTTTTCTTTCACATTTACGCTTACAAGAATCATATTATTTTTTTTCCTTTTTACAATTAAAAAAATTTCACAACAAACTTTACACGAACAAAAATTTTATTAAACAGAACTAAAGGCAAAAGTAAAGTTATTAAGCTTAACAAAAATAAATACACAGAAAATAAATAAAAGGTGTAAAACAAATAAAGTAATCAAAAATATATTTACAAATTAAATTAAATGTTAACAAAAATTTGGGAAAATATATATGTTCTGTACAGTTTTCATTAGCATTACAACAAACACTGTTTCATACACATTTACAAATTTTATTAAAAAAAAACATTTTTTTAATAAAATGTGCATAGTTTTATAAGCATAGTATATTTTTTACATTCTTAAACATCTTTTTAAGATGTAATATAGAAAAATTAATATAATATACAAAAAATTTAAAAGATAAACTTGATGACTAATTTAATTAAATAAATTATATCTTGAATAGCTAAAACCAAAAAAAAAAAAAAATTATCTGTCAGCTATTAATAAAGTATAAATAATAGTATATAAAACTAAAATTAAGTTTTTTTCCCNAAAAAAAAAAAAAAAAAAAAAAAAAAAAAAAAAAAAAAAAAAAAAAAAAAAAAAAAAGAAATTTATCTGTCAGCTATTAATAAAGTATAAATAATTAGTATATAAAACTAAAATTAAGTTTTTTCCCCCTAAACTTGCAATAATCGTTTGAGATCTAGACATGCTATAAGACATTTTTTTTAACAAAAAAAAAAATGTCTAATAGCAATTAAAATTAAAAATTATGATGAGCATTGAACAAAGTATGATGGTACTTAAATAGTGACTGTAAAACAATAAATAATTCAGATAAATTGTATTTTTTCTTTGTTTTATTGCTTCAAATCAATGATTCAAGTTAATCAACATATTTGACATTAAAATCATTATGTTAAGAGCAATTTTGTTAAGCTTTTAAATCATTATGTTAAGCTTTTATTGTTAAGCTTTTTTATTACGAAAAAGAATTATAATTTATATATTTTTTTATTAATTAATGCAACTAATGAAATGAAATTTTTTCAATTACCTTATGACCAGTCATGACTCTGACACAGCTCCCGGATAAAACATCCCATAACCTTATGGTCCTATCACTTGAGCCAGTAGCTATGTAATTTGAATTAGGGTGAAATTGAATACACTAGGGAGAAAGAAAAGAAAAAAAGCACATAAATTAGTTAAAGTAGAAAAAGGCATTTATTTGTGATCAGGGTAATCTTATAATCACTACCTTCTAGCTCAATTGTTGAATGGATATTAAAATTTCGGATGTTTTTAAGTCATTAAATCTTAATTAGGTAATTTTATGAAACACGTTTTATGCAAAGTTTAAATTAGTGTAACCTATCACTTATACAGTACAGAACCCATTATCCGGAAATCAGAAAACCGGAAAACCAAAAAACCGAACGAAAGTCGATAAGTTTTCCCGCAATTTTTAAAAAAAAATTTTTTTTTCCTCATAAAATTTTAGGATTTTTCTTTCTTTTTTGAAAGATGTTTACCTTACCATCATTTCAGAAATAATCATTAGTGCATTGCCTCATCGTTTTTTCTTATTTTTAAGATTATTTCCAAAAGTTTTTTTTTTAGTTGGGTTTAACACTAAAAAAACGGCTTTTTGTAGCGATTCAGAAAACCGGAAAAATCAGTTATCCGGAATAGCGATAGTCCCGATCGTTCCGGATAATCGGTTCTCTACTGTACCAGAAAAGATAAAATTTATACACTGTTTTTATAGACAATCTATGACCATTCAATAGAAACATATATATATATATATAGCAGGAGTGGCCAAGCTCCTTGATAGTCGAGCCATTTTTCAAAATGTGATATTTTTCGCGAGCTGCAGTTAAATACATATTTAAAAGGCATGCAAAACAGGTATTAAAAAAAGTTTCTTTACATAAATTATATTTATTAAAAGTATATAAATAAAAGTGCAAAATATGTGTATTGAATTTAAATATTATAAATTAAACACATTTATTTTACTTCTCTTGATAATTCATTAAAATTTGGTTGGAATAATTGGTGACAGCACTTCTCAATAATTCTTTGAGATGCTGGTTAGTTAATACTGATCGGTGGTTGGATTTCACGAATTTCAAAGTTGAATAATATGATTCACATAAGTATGTTGTTCCGAATATTGAAATAATTTGACAAGCAGCCTTTTATATTTCAGGATACTTCGATTCTGGTACAAATTTCCAAAATTCAGTAATCGACATCGACTTATTTTTTAATTGTAGAGCTTGATCGTTTTGCATCTCTATTAATTCTAATTCTTCAGATGCTTTTTGGGTTGTAATTATATTGGAAATGGAAAACTCACCTTGAATTATGTTGATTTCAAATGAATTTAGAAAAATATTAAAATATAATAGCACAAAAATGAAAAGGGAACTTGGGTACATTTATCGAGAGCCACAAATAATCCTTCAAAGAGCCGCATGTGGCTCGCGAACCACAAGTTAGCCACCCCTGATATATAGCATACAAAATTATAAGATATTAAATTTTAAAAAATAAGACTAAAAAACATTTTTAAATATACTGTTCAGAAAGAGAATATATCTTCCATATAAATGTAGCCTGAGAGTAAATTATCTTAATCATTGAATTTTTACTTATATTATTGAACGGTTGAATTAAAGGAAAAAAAGTGAAGAGACCAAAATTATATGAAGGCTTCTATAAATCAGAAAATTTGTTAAAGAACGCAATAAAATAATTCAAGGAAATCAAAATGTTTTCAATAGAACACTAGATACTTACATCGACGTCAGATACATGTCCACTAAAAACTCTGACAGGTTGATACTGGTCTGTTGCCCACAATCGGGCTGTTCTATCATGTCCACAGGATGCAAAGTAATAACCATATGGACTAAACAATAGAAAGATTTGCTAAAATATTTATACTAATACTTTAACAATATTTCATTTCCTATAGTTATCAAACACAGCATATTTTTTTATTTAGTAACAACATACAATATATTTCTCATGTAAATATAAGACAATAATAATAAAAATTCAATGTAATGCTACATCCAGTCTGATCTCAAAATAATTATTTAAACCTCACACAAAATAATAATTTAAATCTCACACAGTGAGTTAAAACATATTGTAATAGAATATTATTCAATTTGAAATTTCCAAGTTGTTAATAAAATAATTTAAATTGCTGAAACAAATACAAAGTTTTAGATAAAACTACTAAAACAATTATAACTTTCTCCTAAAAAGATCCTACCAATGACTAATTAAACCAGTATTTTTGTAATGAAAAATTTAAAATATTGATTTTTCAAGCAATTTTAGCAATTGTCATTATCTTAGGAAAAAGTTTCAACAACAATTTTGCGCTTTTGAAGAAACACTTTTAAGGCAAATGATTTGACCTATCTGAATGCTTAAACAATTTATCAGATATATAAATACGATTTGAAATATCACTTTTGCAACACAGACAGTTAAGGTTGATAAAAATAGCAACCTCTTAACTAAAAAACATTACAACTTCTTTTTTTTTCTTCCTATTTCTTGCATATATGCTCTGTTTAATTAATATGAAGCTTAACTGAACTTTGCATTCTTTCAAATATGCTCTGTTAATGAATATAAAGCTTAAGTAAATTTCATAATCAGTGGCATAAATTTTATTATTGATTTATCAGTTATGCCTTATTTTTAGATATAAGATATATTAAAAAACATTTACACTTGATCTTTGAATTAAAAATAAATAATTCTTTAAAAAACATTATTCTAAGACTTTTTTTTTCTGTCTGAAAAAATAAGATAACATATTTATACAGCTTTTATAATTGCAAATTTACCTAAATTTAACATCCCATATCGGAAAGCAATGTCCTTTATAACAAACAACATTTGTCCAAGTTTGTAAACTCCACAATCGAACTAGAAACAAAATTGAAATAGTTAACACTCAAAAATATTTTTGGATGATAAGATACAAAATAACAGTAAAAGTTTTTCCTGTAATCAATGTACACAAAAATTGGACTAACATATATTAGTGATATCAAATTTCGGGAAAGAAAGTATGAATATGACGTAATTACAATAAATATTTTAAGTCATATAAAATGTTCATTTAATGAACATCAATTATTAGTTTCACAAATACAAATTGTAATATCATGTATAATCTGTGATGAATCTTCATATCTAATGCTATCCACTTAGTGTTATGAATTGTTAGACAATATATTTTTAGACAAATGAAATGTTAAATGTAATACATAATTATTAATATTTTCAAATGAAAATTACTTGACAGAATCAGCATATTTAAGATTATTCAAAAAATACTATGGGTTTTAACAAGTAAAATATTTTAAATGATGTAAAATGTTGGATTCAAAAAATAAAATTAATAACTTCATGCTGTTTTAAAATATTTAATAACTATTTACACAGCTAATATTATTGGTCAAATAATTTTAAATTTAGTAGCAAAGATAATTCAGGACACATAAAATGTTGAATATTATATAAAATTACTAGTTATTTAATATATGCTAACTACTGAACGTCAAATATGGCATAATGGTACTAAGCATAGCAGCTTTGTCTTTCTATCGACGGAATTTGAAACACATTTTTATGCTCTCAATTTTCATATTTTTAAATAATTTGCTCTCTAAGTTTATTATATTTTTTAATACAAATTACCATTTCATAGAATAGTGGTCCATAAACTGTAATTATGCTTATTCTCAAGCAACTAGCAACTTAAGACTTATTTGCACACATGTAACAAATGTGCAAGGTCATTCTCTACTAGTATATTTCTTCTATTCAGGGTATCTGCTACATTTTAGATGTTCAAATTCATGACTTTCCATGACTAATTCTTAGAATTTTTCATGATTTAATGAAGTTACTATTTTCTCTAACAAAAACACAAGAAATTTAAAAAAAGCATTATAATTACTTAAATTGAAATGATAGGTATAACCAAAACTGTTATATTCTGTATCTTCATATTTAAAAATTTTAAATTTAAAAAAACAGAGTAAAGAAAGAGCTGAAAAAAAATACCAAAGCAAATAATTTTTTTTCTGCAGAATTATAGTCCAAAGATACTTTTCTTGTTCATCCAAAAGGAAAGAAATACTCCTGATTTTTATGTTCTCATTTAGGAATAAAAAAAATTCGCCAAAGACAGGCTTGCTTCAGCTAGAATTTTAAATTGATAAAATAAAAATAATAACAAAAATTTTAATCACAGAAGTTTAAAAGATAATTTGCTCTAGAAATGATGTTTTTTCTTTCATTCTTTGAAAGAACACCATAACTTTTAAAGAACATGATAAAAACATTTTATATTTTAATAAAATATGACTGTGAGTGGGGATTTTATTACAAATTCAGATATTCGGAACAACATGAAATGGGGGGTGGGGTAATTTTTTAATTCCATTTTAAAAATTAGATTTTTTAGTGACCTAAATCCATGACTTTCCATGATTTTCTTAAATAAATAGTTAAAATCATGACATTTCATGACAAATTTTGCTCAATACCGAAATTCATGACATGATTTTTCATGACTTTCCAGGTGCGCCGATACCCTGTCTATTTCAACCAACTTAATCTAAGAGCAGGGTGCGTAGCCAAATCTTTCAACAAAAAATAAGCACCTTTTAAGCATTCAAAAAATAATTTTAAGCACCATTGCTGCAGAGTTGCACATGAGAGTGCAATAATCTCACCGAACCCAGCTCACATGCGGACTTGCAAATATTTCATCAAACCTGCAAAATGATTGGCGCTTTCATACGCTATGGNCTGCAGAATTATATTCCAAAGATACTTTTCTTGTTCATCCAAAAAGAAAGAAATACTCCTGATTTTTATGTTCTCATTTAGGAATAAAAAAAATTCGCCAAAGACTGGCTTGCTTCAGCTAGAATTTTAAATTGATAAAATAAAAATAATAACAAAAATTTTGAAATCACAGAAGTTTATAAGATAATTTGCTCTAGAAATGATGTTTTTTCTTTCATTTTTTGAAAGAACACCATAACTTTTAAAGAACATGATAAAAACATTTTATATTTTAATAAAATATGACTGTGAGTGGGGATTTTATTACAAATTCAGATATTCGGAACAACATGAAATGGGGGGTGGGGTAATTTTTAAATTCCATTTTAAAAATTAGATTTTTCAGCGACCTAAATCCATGACTTTCCATGATTTTCTTAAATAAATAGTTAAAATCATGACATTTCATGATAAATTTTGATCAATACCGAAATTCATGACATGATTTTTCATGACTTTCCAGGTGCGTCGATACCCTGTCTATTTCAACCAACTTAATCTAAGAGCAGGGTGCGTAGCCAAATCTTTCAACAAAAAATAAGCACCTTTTAAGCATTCAAAAAATAATTTTGAGCACCATATACACTAACAAAATGCAAAATAATTTTCAAAGACTTTACATGATCATGATAAAATAACTAGTTTTTGACAAGAAACTCTTTTCTTGATTATATTAGCCACTAAAAATGATCAAGAGATTTTTTGGTTCGATTTCAGAGAGTGGAAAATGAGGCTTGAAATTGAGAATATCTTGTAGCAAAATGCTGCAGAGTTGCACATGAGAGTGCAATAATCTCACCGAACCCAGCTCACATGCGGACTCGCAAGTATTTCATCAAACCTGTAAAATAATTAGCGCTTTCATACGCTATGGTACACAGAAATAGATACCGAGATAGATGCATAATACATGGCAAAAATTAACATGGTAAAGAAAAAAATCTCATTTTCGAAAAAGGAAAATTAAGCACTTTTTAAAAACACCCTATGAAAAAAGCACTTTTAAGGGCATTTAAAAACGAAAATCGAAAATAAGCACCTTTAAGCACTTTTTAAAAATCCTATGCACCATGAAGTGTTATAGTTGAAACAAGCAAAGAAATTGCATCAGATTGACGTCATGAAATTGTTTTTATTGAAAGAGAGAGGGGAAAAAAAGAAATTTCATTCTCAAGATAGGTTTATAAACCAAACTTTATATAAAACAAAAGCAATCAGATGAAATCAGATCTGATGAAATCAGACGCATAGAAGATTCAACATTTCGTCGATAAAAATTCAAAATGAATCAATATATACCTGTAGCATCTTCAGAACATGAAAGTAGAAGATTTCTGTCAGGACTGAAACTAGTAGAATAAACAGGACCACTATGTCCAACCATTGTTCTTATATCACATGCATTTCTTTCATCCATCATCCTATACAGTACGTCATCTGAAACAAAGATAAACAAGGCTCAATGAAAAATACTAAGTGTTATTGTAAAGACAAGGTGCAATTAAGACATTGCATTAACAAAAAATAAATAAATAATAAAAAAGCTAAGAAAATTTTTTTTTTACTAATTTTCACAATTTAATAGAATGTTACAATTCAGTTAAAAACAAAATACTTTACTTTTAGAACATCATGCAAGGCTCATTTGACTACACAAACACTCTAATAAAGTAACAAAATGAAGATTAAAAACAAATGGTAGATGACCCTCTCCATACTTTTATATTTAGTTTGGAATTCATAGCTAGTCAACTTTGTCTTTTTCAAAGAGTTTGCAACATGCTATTTTATTTTATTCCATTCACTATGTATTTTTACTTTCAACTGTTCTTATATACTTACATATACGCATAAGAAAAGACAGAGTTGACTAAAAGTAATTTTTTTTTCAGTTTAGGTAGTTTTTTTCAAATTAGCTTAGCTATTATTTTAATTTCCCCCGAAATTTATTTAGTGAATTTCAATTTTCCTAAACTTTTCCCCAGGCTCATGCTTGTAATTGCTTATGCAAATACATTTATTGTTTTACACTTTTCATACAAGTAAATTAGAAATGAAAAATTTTAGTGTTTGACACTAAAATTTATATTTCTGAATAAACAAAACCCCAATATTGCGAACTGTAAATAAAATATCCCTTTTTCTCCAAAAAATATTTTTTAAAAAACTATAGCCATTATTTTATGTATGCCAGAAAGTGTTAATTAATTAAGTTCATATCAAACGAAATAATTCACGAACTTAATTCTATAACTCTCTCAATTTTAAAAAGCTTATTCTATTTAAAAATAGACTGCAATGCATATAATTCTATTTAAGACAATTTGCATTATACATCTTTGTGACTTTAGTCATTAATTTATAGTACAAATAATTTAATAATAGTATAATTATAGTTTTAAAATGTATTTTAAAAATATAGTTAAAAAAATTATAGTTACAAAATGTACAATCAAAACATTACCAGCTTCTTTGTCAATATTTTCAAGTTCCTGAGCAGGTTTCATTGCTTTCAGTTTATTGGAATTTAAGCTCCATATCCGTACTAAAGAGTCTGAAGCTCCAGCACTTAACAGACTAGAATCTTCACTTATTTCAGCACATGTAACTCTAAATAAGTAATAAATGAGAAATAAATACAAAATTTTGTTTAAATAAAAAAAACTATTTTATAAATTTTCAAATGTATAAAATAAATAATAAATCCTTCTATGCAACTAAATTTTAAGCATTTTAGAATCTGACTTTCAAAACATAATTTGTTTATTTTATGATATGCTTGTTGTGCTTAAAAGTGAAACTATAACCTTAATTTTGCTATCGAAAAAAAAAAAATGCTTTATGCAGGTAGATTTCACAAGTTGGCAGGGATATGGGAAATGGACATTTAAAGAATGTTTCAGTTGTAAAACAAATTTTGATTATTTTTGATTCAGTATCAGTAATAATTTTTCCAACCAAATATTAAAATAAATGTAGAAATTTAATCAGCTTAAATTCCAAAGAAAATAAAATAGACATTTTACCTTAAAATTTGAACTCAAATGCGAATTACATAATGTATAGTTCTTTCAAATGCATAAAATATACAGAAATAATAAAACCAATTCAACCAACACAACTTGCAAAGATTATTTTAAATTAATACAACAGAAAGTAAAAAAGTACATAAAACAAATTAAAATATTCTAGCTATCAAGAAACAAGTTCATAGGTTACTTACCCTTGATGAGAATTCAAGAATGTATAAAAACAAATAGATGGCAAATTATTTGGGCCCAAGCGAACACGTTTCTGAGCTTCCCTTAAAGCATTAATTTTATCTAGTTTATCAGCATCACGCCTGAAAATAAAATAAATGTATTTATAATAAATGTATAAATAAAAACAATTTTAATAAATAAAAAGAGAAATATGAGAAAGAGTTTCTGAGTTTATTTTATTTTTATCATTGATATAATTAAATTTTTATCAGACCTTAGCAGGTGTAAATGGATTATTTATTTACAATAAATATCACATTTTTATTAATTTCCTGAATCTAAAGATCAGAAAAATATATGATAAATCTGAAAATAAATTATTTTAAAAATAAACTTTATTATTTAAATACAAAACACATACATTATTTCAATAAAAATTCATATTATCTGAATCCTTTATTGAAATGTTTAATGCATGTAACTAGCTAACTTTTTTTTTTTTAAATTTGTTAATTGATTTATTTTTACCAAAAGAAAAAGTTTTATGACCTCAAACACTGGAATTTTATTTTTAATTTTGCAAAATGAATGTCTAGGTAGGATCAATATGGCAAGATTGACCATAGATTTGTTTTTATCAATAATTTTTTATTAAGAAAAACTAATACAACTTATATGGTTTTAAATCTACTGCAAATTGAAATGTTCAAATTTTTTATCAGAAGTATTTAGGAGTTGATTTGGTTCTTAACTTCACTCTAGAGTTACACAAATGGCGACAGTTTGGAAGTAATCTTTTATGATGATCTGAACACAATACTGGTTCTAGGTGCACGCTACAATCCCAACCTCCTTGCCCAACTATGCATAAGATTTTCCAGCAATGAAACAAAAAGGGCAGAATAATCTGATCATATACCTAACTTCCACAAGAAATCAAATGAAGCCGTGGTTAACAAAGACTCAATCCAACTGATATAAAATATCTGGTTTTTCCGTACTAATTTATTATTTGAAGAGCTTATGAGCTTTCAATGAAAATAAATGTATTGTAAAGAGACTCCTGATGTTTTTTATATAAAAGAATTTTTTACAAAAAAATATGATTTAACATTATCTTACAGTAACACTTAATTTTTCAAATAAAATAATAATTTGTTGAAAAACACTTTCTAACTTTTCTTTTCTTTTTTTTGCAAAGTATTCATGCATAGATAACATTAGATAAATCATTAAATGATAATCATGAAAATATCTATTCACATCATTTATTTTCAAATTTTGGCATAAATGTTTTAAAGAAAAAAAAACAAAATAAAAAAAATAGAAAGAAAAAAAGAAACAAATGATAAAATCAAATTTCCAGCTTTAAGTAATGTTTGTTATAGATGATGACAGGTACAGGAATTAATTTATATTGCTTGGATTTAAATTAGCAATTTTCAATGAAAATAAATGAATTCCAAAGAGACTCCTGATGTTTTTCTATGATTTAAAGTAATTTTCACAAAAAAAAGGAAAAAAATTTGATTTAACACTATCCTCCAATAAACGCTTATTTTTTAAAATGAAATAATAGTGTGGGAAAAAACACTTTCTCTCAAAGTTTTTTTAATTTTTTTCCCCTGAAATTTTGAAGTATTCATGTTAACAATAGATAATATTAAATAGATAAATCTCTAAATGATGACCATGAAAATATTTATTCACATTATTTACTTTCGAATTTGGACATAAATGTTTTTTAAAATGCAGAAATAAAAAATACATTTCGATTTCATTTGTCCTGCTTTTATTAATATAATTAATCAAATTTATGCTCTTATAATTTTTAAAATATATTTTAGCAATATAAACAATGAAAATAGACTTTTACAGTGAAAATAAACCACATAGTTAAAAAAAAAATATTATTACTCACAATTCTGGCAGAGGAATGCGATTTGCTTGAGGAGCGTTTGGATCGTTACGAGACTTTTTTGATAACAAAGGATCTTTCTTTGGTTTCTTTTTCTGAAAAAGCATAAAATTTAAAAAATTAAAGTTTGATTATTACAAGTAATTTCATTTGTATCAATTTTAAAAATATATAAAAAATACAAAACAATTATAAACTATTTTCAAAAAATTTTGATATAAACATAATGTTACGTTGCAAAATGTTTATGTTTTTATGTTAACATACATCTATAAGGTAGAGCAGAGAAATCCAGAAATATTATAATAATATACAGGGAAAACATCTTTTTATTGACAAAAATGCACATATATAGTATGTTATAAATTTTCATAAGAATTTTTTTCTTAACAAAATGTCACTAACTGCCCTTTTACTTCTTAAAAAATGACACCAGAAAGATGAGCCACACAAAGAAGTTCAGAGTTTCCCTAATAGGAATTATTCATTAACTACATCTTTATTTAAATTATCACAAACTTTTATTACATTTATAGAAACAGGTTATAATTTCAAGTCGTTTTTTTTCTGTTTAAAAAAATATTTTCTAGAAAATTTAAAGAGTATTACATTTTTCTAGTTAATGCAATTTTTGATGCTCTTTAGAGGCTTTTTTAAGCACATTTTTTAAGAATTTTTAGAATAACAGCATCATAGCCTCGTTTAAGATAATAGAAAAAAAAATTCCTGTCAATACAGTTTCTTTATTACTTTTACAATATCTCTTTATTACTCCTTCTCTCTTTCTTTTTTCTTTAAAATAGAATGCTGCTTTTAGATAATTTTTATCACACCAAATGCCTAAAACAGACAAAATTTCCAGAGAAAATGAGAAATTTTTCCAGCGAAAAAAATTTGTAAAACAGACAAATTTCCCAGAGAAAATTATACATTACAAATTTTCTCAAAGGAATCTGTTTATTTTAAATAAATCATCAACCCTTAACTACCTATTATGTAATAATTAAAACACGTTTCACCTTATTATGCATAACTTTTAGGAGCTTTCGTCTTTCTGTAAATCTAAAACTTTCATCAGAAAATTTAGTCACACTTCATCAGGTCTACAAACAACTAAAATTTAAAATGCGTAAAAAAATAATTTCTAGTGCCTTATTAAACTTTGTGTTCATCAAAGCATCTGTTATAATTAAGGAAATATTATTATTTTTTAAATATTAAGCAAATAACTATTAGAACATTCAATGAATTGAAATATTTTTCTTTGCTAAATCTATTAAAATTTCTCCCAAAAAAACTTTGTTGAAAAATAATTTCCAAATAACACTTTGCGAAATATTCGGCCAACAGAATTTTCAACAAAAGGGCTGAATACCATAAAGTGGTTCAATATTTGTTATATTCCAATCTTAGATGTAACAAAATGATAAAACATTTTGACCACAATTAGGGCTATTTAAAATAATAACATTCTTAAAATTAATAATTACCTAATTCTTAACAATTAAAAGCGATAAATAGCAGTAAAACATGCACACTGCAAATGTTAAGTTCACCCTGCCGTTTAATTGGTTTTGGACTAACAACGCTAGATAAAACTTGTTGCCAGTTTTTTCAGAATTGAGGTAGCTAAAATTTCAATTTAAAAATATAAGCCTAAATATGTGTATATTTTGTTTAGATTTTCAAACAAAATTATATTAATTGAAAAATATTAAAAATGGTCTATGAAAACAAGCAGATGCCTGTTTTCCAAAAAAAGCAAGCTCCTTTTTATACAGATGTTAGGGTCAAATAAATCCAGGCAAAAAAAAATTTTTAGAATTATTTCTCCACAAATATACTAAAAATATAAACATTAAGTAAAGTAATAAAAATTAGTAAAGTATAAATTTTTAAGTCCATTTCTCAAATTCACTAAAATGTCCCTTACCTGCTTCTTTCACTCAGTTTTTTATTTATGTTTTAGCATGTTTTTTCTTTCTTTTAATTACACATGAAAAAAATTGCCAAAAACTCAAAAATTAAACCAGGGTAAGCATAATAATTTTTTAACAAAAAATAAGCACCTTTTCAGCACTTTTCAAGAACTCAAAAATATTTTTAAGCACTTTAAAAATATACCATAATTAGGCATGGTTAGCAAGTTTTTGACAATTGACGGTTTTAACCGATGACCAAAAAAAAACTTTTAGCATAGTTTTTGACAATTGTCAAAAATCATGAAATTTTGCGTCATGTAAAACTAATGGTGTTCTCATGTGCTTCGGACTGACAGAATAGATTGGGGTTGAATTAATTGTGAAAACATTGAATAGAACAATATGAACAGTGTGTTTTTGCATAATTCCTGGCGAAAATCAAAATGGTAAAAGAAAAATCTCGTTTTGTAAAAGGGAAAAATGAAGCATTTTTTTTAAAAACACCCAATGAAAAAGGCACCTTTAAGGGCTTTTAACAAATACTGTGAAACGAAAATTGAAAACAAGCACCTTAAAGTACTTTTTTTTAAAGTACTTTAAGGTGCTTGCACTATGCACCCTGTTAAACTTACTTTCGGCTTATCATCACCATCTTGACCCTCATCTTCATCATCAAGTGGAATCTGAATATCAGGTTCTTTCAGTAATCCATAAAATACTTTGGATTTATTAGCTAGAATTAAAAAAAACACATTGCTAGTATACCTTTATTATGCTAAAATACTGAATTTCATTAAAATAGCAGAACAGATTCACAAATAACAAATTTATCAAACAAACTTACCTTGTCTGGCAGCTTCACCAGCGAGAGCACCAGCAGTACTATCGATCTGCGATTTGGTTCGAGAGATTCCTTCATACACTGTACAAATAATCAAAAAATTAAATAAAGAGTTGTTTAATTACATTGCATTTCAACTAAACACAATTAAAATTCTAGAATGTTGACAAAATTTTAAAAATAATACTAAGAGAAGTGCTGATCAAGTTACAAAATGCATACTCAAGATAGTGACAATGTGTAAAATGTGGCATTTTAAAAATTATTACTTAACAATTATCCAGTAAACTAGACCGAGTTTAATAGAATTATAATATACATTTTAGAGAACTTTTATAATTAAAAAATATAAATTACAAATTTAAAAAAATGCATCAAAATTCTAGTTTTTACTAATCATAAAACTTTATTTTTTGTATAAATATGCTAACTAATTCAAAAAACGTAATAAAACCACAGAAATTTAAAAAATCTGAATAATTTTTTTTTTTTAAATTTTTAAAATTGCATTGAATTAAGTCTATGGTGAATGCAAGCACACAATAGACTTAATTCACTTCAAGATAACTTTAACAAAGTCTAGTGGTTTATTATTTGCATATTTTTTAATTGATATTTTAAATATTTTTTTTTAAAAACAAAAATACCTACAAAAGTTCTAATATATCATTAAGACAATTAAAACAGTGTTATGACTTAAGATATATTTAAATATACAACAAAAAATTTTCTCACTATAAATGTTTTGTTTTTAAAAAAATTAATTATTATTATAATATCACTTGGTGTCAAATAAGCATAAATAGTTTATTATACAGTTATAAACTTAATGTTTGAGCTTAGGTTATAAGGGTATCTATGTATTATGCACTTACCATCAAGATACAGATGTTCTTGAATTATATTTTGTAAAACATTGTGTTTCTTATCCTGAAGATGTCTTTTCAGAAAATTGTAAGTATCTCTTGACATCCTTACAGTGAATTGTCCTGATCTGAAACAATTAACACAAACATAAACATTGTAACTACACTTAATTTACCATACCTCAAAAACCACCTCAGGAAGTTTGAAGATTACATATTAATGAATGGCTAAAAAAAATCTTTATTACCGATATCATTTTTGAGTTCTGCTCCCCCCCCCTTTAGATATAAAAATTCAGTAATTTTGTGATTCCAAATTCATCGATGCAACAATATTTCGAAATTACAGACTGTTCAAGTAACAAAACACAGTCTAAAGATTTACCTCGTTATAAATACAACAGTAGCAATGAAAATATATAGTAAATTTAGTCAAATATGGAATATAATAATAGATATATAAGCAGGGTTCGTGATTTTTCTGATTTTTAAAAAAAAAAAAAAAAAAAAAAATCGGATTATTTTGATTTAAATTGGATTTTTTTTATTTAAATCAGATTATTTTTATTTTTATTCAAATACACTATAAGAGCTTTAATTTATGATTAAAAAAACTTTATAAATGTTTAATCAAAATTAAATTAATATTAAAACTATATTATAACAATATTTTAGAAGCTCTAACTTACTAAAATAATTTTTCATTATAATGCATAGCAACCATTTTGATACAAAGGCTTGATTGAAATTAAAAGAAAAGATAAAATAGATAATTTAAAGAATACTATTTTAACTAGTAACACCAAGTTTAAATTAGCACACCAAAATTTTAATTTAAAATTGTGATCTCTTTTTTTTTTTTCCTCATGATTTATAAAACGGCAAAATAAATGGAACAGATTGTGTTTATAAATGTTGTCATTCCTCAAAAAATAAGTATTCAATCTATATATTTTTATGTTAAAATATTCATTTTTAATCCTTTATCAAAATACATAAGTTAAGCTAAAAAACATTTTTAAAAAAATCTATGTACTCATTGGAATTTTTTTTCACAAAAGAAAATCTGATAATTTCAAAGATACCGTAAACATATTATGAGAAGAAAAATAAAAACCAGTTAATAACCCTACTGCTTCAAATAGACTTTGATAGGGAAGAATGACACTATATCAGGAAAAAAATATCTGAACTCAGCTTTTTTATTTTTTTCTATTTTTGGCATATTAAGGTAATTTCTTTTTAATATAACCTCAAGCTTTAGAAATATAGAAATTTCCATCAATAAACTATAATGTAGATTTGAATTTCATGCTTTTTTAATCAAAAGGTAGAATTTTAATTAACATTTTCTTTTTGAAAAAAAAACATGTTTATTTACTTTCTACAGCTATGCAAGTCTACATTAAGACAGCATTAAATATTTACTTTAATCTGTACTGTCAATGTTAAGAATCAAAAGATTTTTAGACATGTAATTTCAAATGTGTTTAACACACACCAAGAAAGAAAGTAAAGAACTAAAGAAAGAACTAAAATTAATTAATGCAGCAATTTATTTAAAATAAATTTTAAAACTAAGAAAAGAAAATAATAAAAGTATCAATAACTTAAAGCACTGTTTTTTAACTTTTAAAATCAATGTAATATAATATAAAATAATAATAATACAGTACAGAACCCGTTATCCGGAAATCAGAAAACCGGAAAACCAAAAAACCGGAGCAAAATTCGATACATTTTCCCGCAATTTTTAAAAAAATTTTTTTTTTTCCTTATAAGATTTTAGGATTTTTCCTTCTTTTTTGAAAGATGTTTACCTTACCATCATTTCAAAAATAATCATTAGTGTATTACCTCATCGTTTTTTCTTATTTTTAAGATTATTTCCAATTTTTTTTTTTTTAGTTGAGTTTAACACTAAAAAAACGGCTTTTTGTAGCGATTCAGAAAACCGGAAAAATCAGTTATCCGGAATAGTGATAGTCCCGATCGTTCCGGATAATCGGTTCTCTACTGTATCAATATAATATAAAAATCAATTGATTTAAATCAAAAATACACATAATTGTATCAAAAGTCTACATGGGTGTGTAAATGACATGAATTTAGGTCAGAAAATTTGAATAATGTGTTTATGTATAAAAGTATAACATGTTTACAGTTTTTAATGAAATAGCTGAATACAAGCAATAATGAAGAGATTGACATCTTTAGAAAGCCTTATATATTTTCTAAAATATTTCACATTTGCAAGATCTTCTCAGCAGCAGAACCTCCATATTAATCTGCAACCTAAGGGTGCCACTAAAGCAAGACTTCGAGACCAGTAGCTTGAATTGCCTCAAATATAAAAGAAATATTCTTCAAAATAGCTACCAGATTCATAAAATAGTTACCAAAATGGCTTATATTCTTAGAATATTCATACTTCAATGGTATAAAATATCCAAATAATGTATTTTTTAGGCATTTACAATTTATAAAATATAAACAATAATTTCATTAATGTAAAAGCTTTAAACTCAATCTGTTGTATACTCAATCTGCTTTACTAACACCATTGTATATTACTTAATATTAAAATATGCAAGAAATAAGGCTTATTTAGATTAGACAGCTTAATTTTAGATTATAATAAAATATGTATAATATGAATGTCGTCAATCATATAGTGAATGGAAAAAGTATGGAGTGATGATGTCTGTTAGTAAAGAATAATTATTGAGAAGTATTCAGAAAAAATAGGAAAAGCACTATAAGAAATAAATAAATCAAAAAGTGCCAATTCTGTTATTTAATGCATTTTTATAATGTTTTGCATGAAAAGACAGGTTGAAAGTATGGGTATAATACAGTAGAGTTTTTCTCTTAAATGGAATAAATATATGGGCCCTGCATACATCATTTAAATGATCTTTTACACAAATATCACTAGGAATTTAAAAATATAGCTAGGAATTATTAAAAGCAACAAAACAGAGATTTTGTTAAACTCAATTGAGGCTTAAATCTAAGACATATTCTAAATTGAATATGACACTCATGTGAATATACGGTAAGTCAAAATTGTGTAAAACAAAATTACAAGAATAAAAATACATTAACCATTCTACTTGATTAAAAAAAAAAGAAAATGAGCAGAAAACATTCATGCAAACAAAACAGCATGTTTACAAAAACAGAAAGAAAAGAAAAATCCAACAATATTTTCTTATAATGTTAAATAAAATTAACTCGAAATATTTTATATCAATATGTGATTGCCATCATAAACACGACAGGTCTTTTCTTGTAATAATCCATGACTATGGTTCACTTTAGTGATATGAAACATTCCATTGTAATTGCAATTTTCAAATGGAGTGCAATATAGCAAAAAAGAACCATTCCTTATTCATACGTTGAGGGGAAAAAATCATGCAAATTATTTTTTTTAGTAGTGAATTGGAAAAATATATTACCGATTTTTTGTAAAAGAGTTACGTATGCAATATATTTATAGCTTTGGAAAATAGGTATTTCTGCCCTTACTTTAGCAAAATTAGTCGCTTTAAAGGCCTTCTCTTCAAAATAGTCATTTTACTTGCCATTTTAGTTGCCAATGGCAGTCCTAACAGCACCATGGAAAAATTCTAAAATTTATCTGCAGAGCCCGCAATAAAATATTGATACTTAAATGCTGCACTTGGTAGGTTGGCATGTTTTAAAAGGCAAGAATATACTACAACAATACGTGATGAAGTAACTGTACTTCTAAAAGAAAGTAGAACTTAAAAGTAATTTAACTCAAGCCTAATTAGAGAAGAAGAAAACTTAACTCATGAAGAAGAAAGACAAGCTATTAACTAAGTTCTCCCCAGGAATAAAAAGGGGCAGGGCACTTCCTATTAGAAAAGGAAACTTTGAAATTTGAAAGGGCACTCACTTAACATGGTAAAAATTTATCAAAATGCATAATATTACGTAATAACTGAATTTAATCCTCAACACTTTTCAAATTACCCTCTTATACTATTTTATGAGTATATTTCAAACTCATTATCAAAATAACATTCTCATTATCAAAATAATGAGACTCCCAATCATTATCAAAATAAGAAAAGAATTTGAAGTTTAGTAATTATAATTATAAGAAATAATTAAAGCAAACTAAAAAAAATTATTAATTGATAAACAAATTGAAAGCTTTTTACTATAATTTAAACTGAAAATTATGAGAACATAAACGTTAAAAGATGCATTTTTTTTTAAAAAAAAAGTATGTATATAAAAAATAAATTTAAAATAGCTTATAAAATTAATTAATATACTCCCCCCCCCCCAAAAAAGAGATACTTATAAAAATTTAACCAGTTGAAAATAATCTTAACAAAGTAAATATTTTTAATAGTAATCAGAATTAAACCTATGAACACAGATAATTTTACCAGAGTGTAATTATCATTTAAACAGTTAATTAATTTCTTTCAAAATGGACATGAATAAAAAGGTTGTCTTTTAGGGAATGGCAGCTTACTTTTCCAAAATAGGGTGCATGGGGATCTAAGGGCAAGAAGGGAGGTCGTGCTTCTAAAAATGTTTATTAATCAGGGATGAGATTAGCCAAAAGGCAAAAAAGCTGAATTTCCACGTTAGTAAATTTTACGCAAGCGCAACCCTTTAATAATAAATTCCAGACAGTTTAAGATAATAAATAATGTGTTGACAAACAATTGTGTACTAATCAATTATTATGTAAATGATTACATTGCTACTTAACATTTAGTGAAAATAAAAATTACCAATTTAAAAAATAAAGCTGGAAATTATATTTTTCCTCAGTTCACATAAGAGACAATTATTACTTGAAAAACTACCTGGTTTAGCAAATTAAAACTACTGAGAATATACATTAATATTTCATTTCTTTTAATAAATACTGTTATGTGATTTATAGCAAATATATCAGTAATATTACTTTTTAAATTATATTGGAAAAAAAAACTTAAACAATGGACCGAATCATTGTGTTCATATTATAGTCTAATCTAACTAGAGCTCTTTGAAACATATCAATAACAGTGAAGTAGAAATATATAGTAACTCCTTATCATACAAAAATTGCTATTTTAGTTTGAAAAATTACATGACAATCAGCAACGGCTTAGATAATTGTTTTTTATTTTATAAGAATTTTGCCTTTTACAGCATAAATAACAGCAATTATAAATAAAATTTTGATGATGAGTTAATTAACTCTTTTTCCAAAAAAAAAAATACTTAAATTAAATCCCTTTTTAAGTGATTGCTTTTGTTTGCTATATTTAGTCGTTAGTCCATCTTCAAACATCTTGTGACAAATCCTATTTTTTCTTCTTTGCAAGCACAGAATGTAAGTTTTGAATATATTCCCTTCCAGTTTCTCTGATGTTGTAACACTTAC